CCTTAAAGGGAAAAAGAAAGGGGAAGTCCTGGTAAAAATCACACGGTAAAGTTGGACTGTCATCAGTTGGCCATGAGTAACAACGTCATGTCAAATGATTCAATATACAATTAGTCTTCATTTTATTCTGATGAAATGAAGTACTAAGAACATATCTAGCTTAATCTAATAACGTAAAGCTGCTGGGAAGGACGAAATATAATAATAAATTTAAAAAAGCCAATTTTTTAAGTTTTATTTGTGTTGGTACATGGCTTTAAGTTTTGCTCAAGATTTCGTAGTATTGTTCCGTACTGATATATGAAGTGATTACTTTTTCCCATGCCGTACGAAGAACGGGATTTCAGCTGATCTTACTCGTATATAAAAATTAAAAAAGCACTTGATTTTTCAGACAATTTTGAAAGTTAAAAAAAAAACTAATTTTTAAGCGATTTTAAATTTACTGAATTGTCAGGAACATGCAAATTATTCTCCGTGTGTAAGATATTTATTGATTTTTTTTAGAAAATATATTATAAAATAAATTAATATACAATGTAATGATGCAAGATTGTGTTCATAAAATTACTATTAGCTTATTTATATCATCTATAAATATTTTATGAGGTGAATTAAGTAAAATACATGTCATGAGACTTAACCAAAAACAACTACTTACATAAATGCTAAACGTTTAAAGCACTAATTTAGGAATCGAACATTTTCCTACAAATAACCTACTAAATTAGCTGCCAAGCAAAACTTAACAAATGAGAAACAATATTGTTAAGCTATAATTTTTCTCCTTGAAATAAAAATCATTTTTCACTTTTCCAAACAAATCGAATACATCAACTAGACGGCTAATCGAACTATTTCATTTGCATTGGGAGCAAGACCGACTTAATAAGATTTGAAATGAGAATTTGTGACTCTCTCTTTGGTGAAGGGAAAGGCACGTGTGCAGCATCGCCATTTGTCATGCAAGGAGGCCCACATGTGTTGGTCCCAGAGAAAGCTTAATTGGATCTCTGCTGGACTTCATTAAATAACTCCTTCACGTCTCGCCTTTCCTCTGCCTCAAAATCAACAAAGTTATTTGGTCGAGGAATTGAAGTAAATAAATCAACGAATTGGAGTCAATTTTTGAGAGTGATTTTGGTTTATTGGTTACGAATTCTTTGGGTGCCACCAAGGGAGAAAGGAGTTTATTAATTTGTTTAATTTACGTTGTGCAATTCGATTTAATTAAATTGAAATGCTTTTAATTTAATTGTATGAAGAAACTTTAATATGTTAAGTATGATCAGTGGTAGTTTAGGTGATAGAGCGTTCGCTTTCTAATGAGGTAAACCGGGTTCGAATCCTAGCGATAACTAGTCGATACGAATTCCACATCCAGCTCTCACCGACAACATTGTTGACTTAAAATAACCTTAGTGGTGGATGAATTATGGGTTGGAAATTACCCCTTGAAGTCAGGGTAACTGTAGGAGGTTTTCGTGGTTCTTCATGTAATCCAAATGCGAGTTAGTTCCATTAAAATGTCCTCCACGAAGGTAAATTTTTAACAATGCTTGATCAAGGAGTTCCCTTATCTTCTGGATTGCGTTCAAAATTTCAAGTGTGTGGAGTTGAACATTAGCAGTTGTAAATCCAAAATTGAGTCGGCCGTTCAGCGATGGTTTTAAAATAAAATAGACTAAGTATAAGGAAATACTTAGTTTAGGAATGTGTAATTATTTACATTGTTGGCAAATTTGGTAATTTAAAAATTTCAAATTATATAAAGATGCTAACGCTCATTTACTTGAGTCTTTAATCTCTAAAAAAATATTTTCAATGATAAAATATACTGTAGTGATAAATGGTATAGGTGTAAGATTAAAAATCATTTAATACTATCAAGAAAGAAATGATCTTATTGAAATATATTTTCATGTTCTATCTCTTTAATTTGATGTAGAAATGGAAATCTTTGCAAATTTATTATTTGGTTGAAGAAGTTTATAATTGTTGAATATAAGAATCTTTAGTTATTTTGTCAAGGTTTAATTTATTTACAGCGTTTGAAAGTTCGGCCACTTAAAGTGTATTAAACAAATTACCTTTATAAGTATTTTTAAGCTTTAATGCTTTTTAACAGTTTAACTGCTGAATTAAGAAATAGTAAATCAAATAACTTGTAATTTTATTAATTCATTACTAAAGAGCAAGTATAATCAAAGTTAATAAAAAATGGGTAAAAATATTTTTAAGTACGTTTTTAAAGGAGTTCCCTTTTTGGAACGTAGGTGCTTGGCAAAAGCGTTTTTTACTGAAGGTAGTTGCAATTGCTTCAGCTATGTTCCACTATGTTCCAAAACGTATCTTCTGCCAGAACAATATGGTATTCACTTAGAAGAATGTGAAAATGCAGAATATAATTTTGGAAAATATAAACTTTTGGGAAATTCAGGCTTTTTAAAGCATAAATTGTTTATATAATGACGTGACGTTCTTCAGGAATAATTTTTAAAATATGTCAAGGGGAGCATAAAATGCATGCGTTCATGATATTATTACAAAATTGCTTCCAGCTTTTCAAATCTGATATTTCATCAAGTTTTCCTTCCATTTTCTATTTAATATTTGGGATTTCATTCTTTTTTTTCTATAGAATTTTATTTCTACCTCATCTTCACCTATATAATTTTTAAACTCATCATTCTACAGACATAGAATGGCACAATAGGCTCTAAGTTGCTTTTATCTATGTTTTCTGTATGAATTAAGACTCCAGGTTTATCAGGATTTAGCTGGAAAATATCTTGATCTTGCAAATCTCAATTAAAAAATATTTCTAACAAGACCATTGTTTTTTTCATCAATATGCACATATTAGGCATGATGTTTAGAAAAAGCAAACTTTGAAAATGAAACTAAAAGGTCATACTTTTCTTTTACTCACTCTACAACAAAACAATTATCACAGATATAAAAAAAGTCTCAGAACTCAAAAATAAAAAAAAAGATACTATCAACAGCAAGACATTACTTTTGCTGGAAACACACTGAAAAACCCCCTTGATATTAAATTTTAACTCTATCATTGCCAAATAACTCAGCAAAGTATTACAGTCCACTGCAAGCGAAAGCGCAGAAAGAATTTATTTTCAATAGTTAGAATTTCAATAAAAGAGAAAAACATTAGGTACGAAAGAGTACATATCTTGCTACTATTCAAGTATTCTGCCATTCAGTTATCAGTTACCTTCAAATTAATGTCAAGAGAAGTTTAACCCGAACGCGTACATCACGAATTTCTTTCCATTCAAGCTTCATTATGTATATTGAAAACTGTCATAATACCAGTTGAATGAAACGCACAAAACGTAACATAATTACTTGAAATCTAAAACTAGAACCCTTGAAACGCCATTGTTCCAAAAATGGAGCATAGGGATTTAAACTAATATTTTAGAATTAAAATTTTGAAATTAAATTTCGAATCTGAGGCCTAACAGAAGATTATATTACCCTTTTGAATGTTCATAAGTATTGTAGTCGTATTAGAAAAATTGGATTTTTAGTAGATTATATTTCAAGATAAAATTTTACAAACTACATCAAATTTCAAAAATTCATACGGAGCAAAATAATTATGGAAGAAGAGGAACCAAACTAAAATCTAAAAATTCTTCAATATAAATTTAAAGGGTATGAAAAATAATATGTTTCACATTCATTTTACTCATTATACCCATTAAATTGAAACGTAAGTCTATGCTCTGTTTTTGGAGCACTGGCATGTAAACCGTTGACTTGAAACTTCATATCGGGAAAATTATTGTTAAACGTTATCTATAAGAAAATTTGAGGCAATAAAATGATAGGTCAAATTTTCAAAATTTTCAAAAGCGCAATTATGCAGAAAAATCTCTATGATTTCTATCTAGATAATATAAGGCTCCTTTGTATAATACTGATGACCTGTGGAAATTTTGAAAACTTTTTAAAAACTTATCTGTAAATAATACTATGTAACAGTTTGATAAAAAATTGTCATCTATGAACAAAAGACTTCACTATATTTTCTCAATGCCTTCACATAATCACACTTACTTCGTCGCAGACACTTTAACCGTTTTTGTTGGAAATTTGTCTAAAGCTTTTCTTTCATGGTAAGGTGAAGGAGCTTCAAATAATGTGCTATTTTGTTCACCTCATAAGTTTGCAGTAACTTTTTCAACTTGGTCAAGTTCAGATATAGTGTTTTTCTACGTTATGGTTCGAATTCTATCTGAGAATTTGTGACATTCAAAGTAGCATACTTTTTGTCTTTTAATAGTTTATTTTGATACTTTCTAAGATTTGATAAAGTAAATAATTAAGTTTAGAGATTTTGAAGTTTTCCTTTTACTGTCTGAAAACAATGACAAACATTTAAAAATTAAGGTAATTGAATTGTCACAATATAAGTTTAAAAAAAAGAAAAGCATTGTTCTAAAACCTCTCAAAGTCACGAAGAAATTTTCTTTTTAGCAAAGACCTGAAATTTTAAAATTTATTTTTCAAACCTTAACTTGACAAATAATTTAATTAAAAAGGTAAAAATGCTTCCCTATAAGGTATTACTAAAATTTTTAAATTATTTAAATCAATAAAAAGTCATAATTTGACTTTTATTCAGTTTAATAATTGTAACTTAAAGTTTTAATTGCTATTGCTTCAGTTATTGATTTTTAATTCATAATTTTAAATTTACTTTAAAAATATAAAACTCGAAAATTGGATTCGTTACAAATTTAATGTTTAGACTAAATAAATATAACAAAGTGATCTGTTTCCTTTTAAGTTTAGGCAGTAAAAGAATGGATATTTGTCTACATTATGAAGTCAAACACACTAAAAAATAGTTATTACAAAAATTAGATTTACATTGATTGAATTCTTTATCCTACATTTTTCTAAAATATGTATTTTTTGGTTGCATTCTTTGTAATTTTATAAATGTTTCACAGTGTATTTTGTTTCAGGTTAGAAGGCGTTATAGGAACGGAACATAATCAATAAAGGTTTATTATGCATTTAGAAAACAGGTAAGGATGTTTTTTTTAACTACATCATACTACTTTCTTAGCAAACACATTTACTTTTAAAATACAAGAAGGAAAATTGACTTTTAAATGTGTTTGCAGCATTTTAAAAGTAATCCTTTGTTCTGTTTTATATAAATTTAATTCGATTTTTCCATTATTCCTTCCTCTTTGAATTTTATGTAAATTAGTTTATGAGAATAACAATACAAAAGAAAATGAATGATTTTAAAAATAAATGTTCCGTAAAAAATTCTACAGAAAGATACGATAAGAGGTACTAACAGCTTGAGTACAGTACTCTCAAAATACATTTTAACTGCAAATTTTTCATGCCATGCTTTTTTTAGTACTCACTTACTTAGTACGGAACTCTCAGTGCCAGTACTTTTTCTATAATGTTAAAAGGAACTTCTTACAGTGTATGACGTGGCGTTTTTTAAAATTTTTTACTGAAAAATGTTTTAATAAACAGCTTTTAAGGCTTAAGCAAAGTAAAACTGTCTAAAAAATTTATTGTTTACTAGGAAGGATTAGAAGAGGGAATAATAGAAAATTTTTTTAAAAAAATGTCAGTATTCAAAAATAAAATTATTTTCTTGAATAATTTATCAAAATGAAGAGAAATAAACGACACATCAAGGTTTTTCAAAAGGCATATTTAAAAATAAATTAAGTTTTCTAAAAAGTATACTCGTTTTCTAAAATTAAACAATATGTTCTAAACTCCCTGGCGGCATAAATTCTCCATTTTTTCGTCTTCTAAAATGTGTACCAGCATGCCTATTGCTTCAAGAGTTTTTTTACATATATATTTTTATCAACTTACTGTACATTTTGTATTCTACACGCCTGAAGAAAAACCGGAACAAGTATTCTGATGATTTGATATGCATTTAATATAACTAATGGTGAATTTCTAGAACGGATTGTACAGTAAAGTAATTTAAAAATTATTACTACAGATTGATTATTTAAAGAGAAATCTTTAAAAGTTAATTTTTAAACTCATGTTTAAAATTTGTATGAAACGTTCAGTTTCTAATATATTGTTTAATACTCGAATCTTAAGTATATTTCACCATAAGTCATTTTAAATGTGAATCTATAATTTCTGGCTTTTGAAACTTCATTTTATTTAAAAACCGTCACAGGCATATCACGAATCATTAAAGAAAAAAAGGTTGACTTTGAAACATTATGTTTGATCTTTGATTACTCGAGATATGATTACGAGATTAAGATTTGTAGACTAGTTTAAATTCTAAAAGTTACTCACTTTTTACATTTTTACAATTTGTTATTTTTAATACCAATGACAAATTTATTGTATCAGTCAAAAAGTAACTCTCAATCTTTACCACATCAGTATTTTTTGTTATTATCATTTTAATTCAGGAAAGGATGTAAACTGGAAACTTTTCAAGAGTATTCTTAAATATCTAAACATTTATCAGAGTTGCAAATGAGCAAAAGGGCTCAATAAAATATCGCTGCATAAATTCAAATAAATAAAGACACATAAAAAAACATTATAAAGCAATAATTTTTGCATAATATATAACAATGTTTACAATTTTATGATAGGAAAATGCTTAAGAAACAATTCTTGCTGAGAATTCATGTGATTTTTCCTCTAGAATCTCAAGATTTTAGGGTTTTCAACAGATAACGTTTCAAGTAGTGAACTTACAACCTACAAATTGAAGTACACATTACAATTTCTTAAGACTTTCAATGACCGGAAATCATTTAATCGTATTATGATAATTTCTAAATATCCACCAATAGTCATAATCATACAGTGCTGTCGGAAATATTTTGAGTGAAAACCAGGATCTTTAATGCAAAAAAATATGCATTTCCTTATGAGCTTGCTGCCTAATCATCCCACCAAGTTTCACCATTTTTCTAAACACTTCTATAAAAACAAATATTGAAAATTTTTTGAAGCAATTAATTGGAATACTTTTTTTAATGATTGAAATTAAAAACTATCGCAGATTTTTTTTTTCTTCAGAGAAATGTTTCCGGGGAAATGTGTTTTAATGATTTTGTTTTAGTCCCTAAAAAAATAAATGTTACTTTTTCTTAAAATGCTATAAAAATGACATAAAGTTAACAGATAACACGAAATTTGCAACTCAAACTGTACCTCATTGAATAATTTTAGTAACTTTTGTTCTACTATACTTGTAACCAAAAATATTTTCTAACTACTTTTAATGAACAAGGTGCTATTAGCTATAAAATTAACTATAAAAGCAGTGTATTTAAAACTTCAATTATTTTTAATATTTCTCATGAAATATGATATCCTATATGTGTATAGCTGACTATAAAATTGTAATTAAAAAACAAAAACAAGTTTATTTTAAAAGTTTTTAAGTTCCACAATACCTTAAATGAGTACAAAGCACCCATAAGTAGACTAGTTAATTTCTCAGTAGTACAATGAGAAAAAAATAAATTGGTCGAAGTTACGAGACTTAGGTAAAAATTACCCTGTTTCTGCCTCTATGGGAAAACCAAAAAGCTCGGTAATTTTTATCGAAAAGCTTTAGTAAGGATTTGGTAAAATTATCAATATATGATAAAATTTTGTAAATGTGGTAAAATTTGGTAATTTTCTCATGATACCTTAGAACAGAGGTCGACAAAGTGGTCTATTTAGACCCCCAGGGGTCTATTTAACATAAGCGGGGGTCGATCTGAGCCAGGGGGTCGATCCGAACCGGAAGAGTCGATTGGTCGAAGGATCATCAGTTTTTTTCAGATATGTGACAATTAGAAAGAAAAGAAGAAGACTTGGAAATATATACAGGTAATCTTCAAAAATTGAGCGACGATTTTAAACTTTGTTTTGTTGATTTGGAAAACATTGACATCCCTGATTGGATTATTGTACCATTTTCTGCTCAAATTGAAAACGTGAACATCAACCTGCAAGATGAGCGTGCTGAATTATTATGGGGATTTGAAGCAAAGACGCTTTTTAAAAATTTAACAATAAGCAAATTTTGGACAAATATAAATATAATGCAAAAATATGTAAGACTTTACGAAATAGCTCAGCCATTTATGATAGCATTTCCAAGTTCCTATATGGTTGAAGCCGGTTTCAGTCACGTAAATTCAATCTTAACTAAGAACAGAAATAAATTAAATGTGGAGTTTCGAGGGGATTTAAGATTAAAATTGACCAATTTTGAACCCAATATAACGAACCTTGCAGAAAAAAAAACACCAGGCACACCCATGTCATTGATTAAGAAGCAATAAATCCGTAGTTACTTTACTTATTATTTCTACTTACTTATAATTACTTATTATTTCATAAATATTAAAGTATTTATATTTCAGCATTAATATATTTTTCATAAAACTATTGTTACACTATGTACTATTACTTTAATAAATGTTCAAAATTATAAAATAAATGTACAAACACAGTATCTAATAGAGTTCTACTTTAATTAACAGAAAAATACTTTTATGGGGATCAATAGAGATTTCGAAAAATTATGTAGGGGTCGATGATCAAAGAAGTTTGGCAACCCCTGCCTTAGACCATGGAATAAAACCATTTATTCCGCTATACTTATTTTTAAGTTTTGTAATTTCTTTAAAATATTGAAAATAATAATTATAATTTTAATAGCCAGAATTTTCACTAAACTCTAACCGTATTGGATAAAAAGGTTACCAAATGAATGGTTCAAATACCGCATATTTTGTTTTTATTAACCAAAATATGTGTTTTTTTTTATCAACAATGTCTTTATCAACCAAAAATAAGTCTGTTTGTTTTTTATCAAAAATTCCATTAACATACAGTACGGTAATTTTACCAGAATTTTTTTTCGTGTACAATTAACTCTTAATATTTTATAATAACTGTGTCATTTAAATTTTTCCCCTTTCTAACAGCTTCATAATAAAGATTTCCTTTATATCAATGGCAATATCTGTCCTGTCATCATCATCAAAAAATTCTACTTCCATTAATCGAAATGAAAAAAAAAATCTTCTTCATCCGGAACTTCTTGTAATTAAAAGCTTCCTTCCTAAATTTTCTGTAATGAAAGTAATTTTTCGTCCTTTTTATCAACTTTTTTGAAGTTGTTCTACTCAAACATTCTTTTCTTCTATGTTATTTGCATTTTTTTCTCTTTGAATCAAGGCTCTTGACATTTCCGCCCTATTCTCTCCTGTGTTAAGTAATCTGTCTTCTTTTGTTTTGCTCCAGAGAAAGGTTATTTTTTCCCATTTCTGCGCTCCTGTTTTTTTTTTTTTTTTACTCTCCATTTTTCTTTCTGAACTACAAACTTCCTTATCTCGCTAAGCTGGTTTCTTTTTATTCTCTTTTTTAAAGTGTGGTTCTCGATTTTCACTGAGGCTCTAATTAAAGTGGAAACGATTTTGCGCCACAGCGTGCAAGATACTCCGTTTAAAGTGCGATTTTTTCTTCTTCATTTTCTTTACTTCGAGCCTAGTTTGCAAATATGGTTTTTGTGGAAATATAGTAAATTCTATCAGTGATATATGATGTGCTCACAACCACATAAAACCAAATCTATTTATCACTCCTGTTGAGTGAGTTGTATTTTTTGCTTGAACTGCTGCAGTTTTAGAATAAAAATAGAAATGCAATCAACATAAATTCATTCTCTATTTAGAAGGCTTTTTACATTGCTTTATATGAGCCTTAATAATATCAATTTTGATGCAGATATAAATATCATAATACAAGCTCGCAGTATTAACCCATTTTTCGCCAATAGTACGTAACCGCACCATTTCAATAAAAAAAAATATTAACACTATGATGTACAGAGTGCAGACTAATAAACAGACCACCCTGAATAACTTTCTGTCTAATGATCGGATCTTCACGCTCCAGGAATGATTCTTGATGATTCAAAAAGGTAACCTCAATATGCAAATGAATTAGTGCCGAAGATATTTTTAGTTACGAAATTTGATATAAAACAGTACTTTCT